ACAAGGTCAGGAGATTGAGACCATCCTGGCCAACATGGTGAAACCCCATCTCTACTAAAAATACAAAAATTAGCCGGGCGGGGTAGCATGCGCCTGTAGTCCCAACTACTCAGGAGGCTGAGGCAAGAGAATCGCTTGAATTTGGGAGGCAGAGGCTGCAGTGAGCTGAGACTGCGCCAGTGCACTCCAGCCTGTGCGACAGAGTGAGACTCTAAAAAAAAAAAAAAAAAAAAGATTAAAGATATTTATTGAAATAGAAGAATAAGATTCTCCTATTTCACTTGGCTATAGCAAAGCTCCTGAAGGTAGCCTTGGAATGGCTGATGACCAGGAAGCGCTGGCTCAGCTCCACACTTCCTTGGGGCCAGCCAAAGGCACAGAGGTCCCACCCTGGCCACAGTTCAGCCTCCCCGCTTAGGTGCCCTTCACCCCAGGCCAACGACCTTGGCACTGGGCCCAGCTGTCTTGGATTGGGGCTGCACCTGAACTGGGGTTGGAGCCATGGACTGTGTCTTCACCTTCCTGAAGAAGGTGTTTCTATGTGCTCTGATGTGTTTGAGTCACCGCTATATTGGGCAGACAAACCACAGGGCCAGGCCCTGGAGTATGCAGGTCACTCTGGGTATGCCCAGCTTTGAGGGTCACCTGCTGATGGTTCTCTGGGGCTGGGGGCATCTTCCCGCTGGGCCATCTGTACTGAATGATGGGCACATGCCTCTCGTGGAGTGGCACTGAGCAGTAACAACCAGACCACATGCTTCTTGCCAAACAGCAGGTGTCACTGGCCTTACAGACCTGGACTCCAGTTCCAGCTCTGTCATTCAGTAGCCAAGTGACCTTGAGAAAGTCATTTCCCTGACCTCAGTTTCTTCACCTTCCAATGGAGAGGACAATGAGGCAGAACCTTTTAGGTGCAAGAGATAAATACTCAAAACAAAGTAGCTGAAACCAAAAGGAGAATTTACCAGCTCATGAAATTGAGAAGTGTGGGATGATGTCGTGGTGGCGTCAGGCATGGCTGAATCCAGGGACTCAATGGGAATATCTGTTCAGCTCTGCTTTCTTCAGCATTGGTATCATTCTCTGTCAGGCTTTCTCCCTGAAGTAGAAAGATGGTCTCTAGAAGTTTCAGCTTTCTAGGCTGCAACTTCATCAAAACTAGTGGAGCCTCCAATAGTTCTAAGACTTGAGTTTCACTGATCTAGCTGGGGTCGTGTGCCCAACCCTGAACCAGTCCTAGGAGTTAGGGGAATGGGCTTCTCTGACTGGCCAGGCTAGGTCTCATTTGACCACACTCAGAAGGCCAGTGTCAGATCCAGCTGAACTATGGTGGACTGAAAGTGAGGAGGGGGAGGTCAGGCGTGGTGGCTCACACCTGTAATCCCAACACTTTGAGAGGCCGAGGCAGTCGGATCACTTTCAGGTCAAGAGTCTGAGACCAGTCTGGCCAATGTGGGGAAATCCCATCTCTACTAAAAATACAAAAATTAGCTG